TCCATCAAATATATATTGGAAATCTGGTAGCACATTAGACCAATGTAAGAGTTTGGAGGTGTGTGGACAGGCAACAGGAATTCCTGAGAGGGAAAGGAAAAACCACTGTAGCACTCAGAGCTGAAGAACCACAATTCTGTATGCCTAGGATAGTATCTTGAAAATGTACAGCAACTTCAGACAAGCCAGAACATGACAGTTCATAGGGAAAAATGAGACCATTCTACTGAATTATTAGTTTTGCTTCTAAATCATCCACACAGAATAATGTTGAAAGGGATTCAAGAGGCTAAGTGAAACAAGGTGAGAAGTACAGAACTTCTGGAGGCAGAATAGACCAAATGTATCCCTTCCCTGTTCTGATTTCACTGAAGTCAACAGATTTATGCCAGGTATGAAATTGGCCCTCTATCTGAAATAAGTGGTAATTCAGCATGTAAACAAAATATTAATCCCAGAATAGTTGAATGTTTCTGCTAAAATGATCTCATCGACCACAGATGTTATAGATGGAAAAAGCTTTGCTAAAAGATTGTTCCCTATTGCACATTTCCCAGTGTTTTGTCCAGTCTAGTGTAACCGTCCCAAGTGATGGGGCTTCTACCATTTTCCTTGGGAGCTTATTCCACAGCCTACTTGGTTTTATAGTCAGGAAGATTTACCTTGTCATTAGTTTAAGGGACACCACTAGTTTAAATGCAGTGTAACAAAGTAAAAAGTAAATATACATGTTTTTAAGTAAGGCTTATCTAGTGGTGGTCCCAACTATGGAGCATTTCATCCAGCATGCAAAATTACAGCAACAGTGCTGACTTCTTGTCACACACATAATGAAACCAAGGAAAAACACAAAGCAGAAATAAAAGCCATTTTAAATGTTCATTTATTATTAACTTTAAAATATAGATGACAACATTCTGGAGAAGCAGCAACATTTCTCAGTGCTTTGATGAACCTTTGAGCAACAGTTCTGTTCTTGTAATCTCTCTCCATTATTTGTCTGTACAACAATGCCAAATGTGCGGTAATTTCCATACTTTCATAGTTAAAATAATTTATTCTCATCATGAACACCAATAATATGCACAAATCAGCCATGTTCATAATCAACCCAGCAACATCCACTATTGAGCAAAACCACTTATTTTACTCAGACACACTTAGCGCAATACAACAGAGCATCTCATTGACATGCCACATACACTGTGGAAGAAGCAAAAGGGTCCAGATCTAAGAAGCGCTGAAATCAATAGGAGGTGAAAGCACTCCGAATTTCTTAGGCCTCAGGAGGCACTCTGCATCTCTCAGGATCAAGGCATAATAATTCCCTTTTCCTCAGAGGTGTCCTTATCTTTTGCCACTGCCAAATGAAAATGTAAACATATGTATTGATTTTTACAGGCTACAATGGCAGTAGTAAAACTGTCATACATGCATTGTCTTCATCAGATCTAATCTCCATGGCACTGTCACCAACTGATTAGTGATTGCTTGTGAATACTTATGGGAAAATCTCACTGGGTTTAATGCTCTTCCAGAGATTTTTCTCTTTTCCCCAGAATATAAGGTTCCATAGCAAAACCTATTCTGCCCAACAAATCAAGGTAATGTTGTCTTGGTTACTGTGCAACCAGTATCCTATCATCATAGTTACATAAATACTTATGCAACTACAATACTAGCGAAAATACAAACTTGGTTTATGTCATTGCAAATATATTTATAAGAACTATAAATAGTTGGATCCTGTTTTCTTTCATACTTAGAGGACCTACCCATACACAAAAAAATACATACACTGCTAAATCAGCTTTAAGCCACCTCCGAAAGGAGCAACAAAACTCAATCGCCTGCTAAACTAGAGGTCATACAAAATGTACTGGAAACCTTGAGGATATACTTAAAAGTTAAAACAGGGAGGTTGCCAACCGGAGGTTTCCCTAAATGCATGGTTCACTGTATATTAATGTCCAGTGTAGTTGAAAATCACCTTGCTTTTCTAGTCAAGCTCTGCCTAAGATCGCAAGCTCTGCTCACAGTCCTAAAGTCTGCTCAAAATCCCATAACAGCTGAATGCTTCTGCTGAAATAATCAGCAAACAGCTAACAATGTTAATTTTTAATTAACATCATTATGGCTAAGTGTTAATATCCTGACTGGGTTTCAGGCTGTAGAATCATGTATGAAGGTTCAGAGGAATCCTGCTGACTGACCCTAGTAGCCAGAACAGACATGTACCATTAACTTCACTCACGAATGCAAAAGACTGATCCATTGCTCTGTAACTATTGTAATCATTTGCACTAGTATAAATTGAATGCAAAGGGGTACCTGCTCAGACCAACCCCTGAATTATACCATCTTAAAACAAATTGCTAACTTTTACAAAGCATCAAGCTTCTCAATACACAAATATGAATAATTACCCATAATTTCATATATCACCTTGCACTGCGCACGCGCCAGTCGAGATTTCTTATTAAAAAGTCAAAGTAACTGATTTGTAGTTTGAAAACTGAAAAATGCTATTCCTACCCAGAAACAACAAGATGAAATGGCATTTGCTTCTCTTTTCTGGGGTAACTGTTAAGGGATCTCAGGGGAGGGTCATTTGATTTCTGAACTCTGATCTGCTGCCCTGAGGTTTCACTGTTTATTCCTTATTCCTTTTAATGAATCTATTTTAAATAATTTATTTCTTGTGGGTGGCAACTCTTTTTTCTTGCTGAAGATGTCATTTGCCTGGTTCACATGGGTATGTTATTACTCAACACAATACACATTCTCTCATCTACAGTTTACGTTTAGCACTTCAAATTAAGAAACATAAAATACTATAACTGGAATATTGTTCACTGTGCTTTAGGTGTTCGAGTTGATATTCATGGTGTGGATTTCATGTTTCATTGGGTCTACATATTGGAGTTGATTCTTCTTTAAACCTGTTTTTCAGAAGTTTAACTCCTTTGATTTCAGTAGAATTACTCCTGTTTACACCAGTGTATTTGAAATCAGGCCACTATTGTCAGAAGCTAGACTTCATTACTGCTCCGATACTGGGCCATATTCAGCACTGCCTTGCAATCCCTTTGTGCTAGCCAAGCTGACACAAAGAGGCTGTAGAACAAGCATAAAGTGCCCCAGAGAATACCCTCAGTGCAAGGGTGCTCTACACCCACATACCACCCTGGGCATAATGGGCATTCTGGAGTGATCTGGGAGTACAGTGGAAACACAGTACAGGCATGCCAGAGAAGGGAGAGAGGCCATAGCCAACATGAATCCAGGCTGTTTAGTGTCACTGTAAAGATCCACAGAAGCCACACTAAAACTGGGATATAATACTGGGTGCTAAACTAGCTCATCCCAACAGCCCCTGAATAGGACAGGTTCAAACTACCTTCCCCTGGTCCCTGAATTGACACCTGTGCCAGCAAAAGGCTCGATCTGTCTCACTGGGCCTGATTCTCCCTAACCATGCACCTTGTGTAGTCATTTACACGTGTGCACAGTGAATGCAATATGGGGATAACAACAGCAGCTATTTACACCCACTTCAGGCAGGTATAAATGATTACATAAAGTGCAAAATAGTGAAGAATCAGATCCATTGTTATGTAGTGTAATTTCTTCCTTTTAAAGTCAATTTAGCACAGCTGTGGAGAGTGAAGCCTATATTTATTATCCAAAGAACATGAATAGCATGGGCATTCTTCCTTCACATTACCAGGCTAATATATTTCTCTCCTCCCCAAGAAAGACCAATCATAAAGGTGAAAGAGTGGTTTAATCTCCAGGACCCATTCAGTCTGTGCCACTAAGGATGCTAACTGTTAGTAGTAGTTTACTCAGAAATAACCTCAACTCTAGAGCTCACAATCTGGGATTTATTTACATTAAAGAAGCTTCATACAGCTTTTCATATTATCAGAACTGCAGAAATAGAATGACCAACTCATAAACAATAAAAAAAAAATTCTGACCCTACATGTCTATTAAGCAAATAGAGAGACAAGATGGGTGAGGTAATATCTTTTATTGGACCAACTTCTGTTGGTGAGAGAGGAAAGATTCAAGCTCTGTGTAAACTCAAAAGCTTGCCTCAGTCACCAACAGAAGTTGGTCCAATAAAAGGTATTACCTCACCAACCTTGTCTCTCTAATATCCTGGGATCGACACAGCTACAACACCACTGCATAATTAGCAAATATCAAACTACAAACTTTTACTCTTCCTGAAAAAATGATCATGTGCTTATCTGAATATCTTTCTTTCCCCAAGCTGAAATGTCAACTATTTTGAGTAACATTAAATTATTATTATACAACAAATCACTGTTCATAATGAGAACTTTAATGCCAGAGTACTCAATCAAAAACGTACAGTCTAGTTATTTACTTGCAGTTTATCATTAGGAAAACTGAGCTTAAACCCTCCCAAGTGCTTTGCTGCTTGATGATACAACCACTAGCATGTTATTAAAGCTCCATGCTGCTGAAATTCTAGTCATTATATCTGCAAATGCGGATACATTTTGAAATGAAAAACTGTTCTTTCATAAGAACAAGAAAGGTCTAAGAATGACAGATAAATGTTTTATCTATAGAGAGGAAATACACACACAGAAAAATTATTTTTGCGATCTCCTTGTTCCATTTACACAATTCACCAATTAAAAAGGCTTCACCAGTCAATCAAAACTCCAAGTTTAAGGTTCTATAACACAAGAAAATCACCTCATGTTACTATTAAGGGCACCCAGATAAACAATAAATTTTGATTATGAAATTATCATTATGTGCCTGATGATGAATGATGAGGCAGAGAGTATTCACCTGGATTCTTATTTGAAATAATTGCTGAGATTCATGTATTAATGGATGAATGAACAGAAGGGTGATTGTACGTTATTTTAATATAATATAATAAAAATATTTAAATCAATAGAATGAAAGTGGTTCATTCATTTTAGACAGAGATATCTTGTATGAAATTTTATTTTACTAAACACACATTTGTTAACAATTCTGACAAGCTGCTGATTATAAAACATATATATTCATAATATAATTAACATAAAATATTACTATTCTTTTGAATGCAAACCATCACTATGTTCATTAAAAAGCCTGCAAAAATTAGCAATGACTAAGTGATATATTATGCTTAATAAGGATTTCAACAAAACAATACTCTGTAACTGAAAAGTTTAACTGAACCCATATTAAAATGTAGCTCTCAAGCTAAAATGCTAGACAGACAAACTATATACTCTGATCCAACGCTCACTGAAATCATTGTTAGTCTTTTCATTAATGTCAGATGGATGTTAGATCAGATCTAAAATGAACACTAATTTAATGCAACACTTGAAACTGAATCTTCATTTATTTCTTTGCTACACCCATCCAAAGATGGACTCATCCTAAAGAAAAAAAGATGACAAAACTGAAGCAATTTCTTTTAATATAAAAATACATGCAACAGGTAGATTAGTTTTATAGTACATGACAAAGGCTAAAGGCTTTATTCAGATTTCTTTAATTTACACTTGAGAATTCTAAAAATGCTGCAGTTCAATAAAGAGACTTATCACATACATATTGGTTCTGATCCCTAGTCACATTAAGTCTCATTTGCAATGCTCCAGCAGCACAAAGCAGATTTAAATATGGTTTAAGTGGTCTGCTGAGGTCTCCCCTGGTATTAAAATCCTCCAGTGCTATATAACTAGCATAGCTGTCACTATACTTCACTCTTTCACAGCCCCCAAACTAGGGGTTGTGTTTGGGGAAACATAGCATGGCCAGAGTGCTGCTATGCTCCTATAATCATTGGCTACTGGAATGGCCCCTTGAAGCTATTACAGACACATGCAAATTAGAACAACTCTGAGGCTGCTCAAAGCTGCAGCACAGCCAAACCTCTGGGCATTCCCGGGATTAAGAATGGATTATTAGAGGGGTGTAGTGATATGGATAAAGTCATTGTGCACCCTGTCCAATCAGATCCTGCACTATATAGAGCTAGATCAGACCAACAGTCTAGTCCACTGTGTTTAGAATTATATCTATTTAACTGATGGCCCGAATATTATGACTAAAACAAACATACATCTTTATATGACACTGCACTTATGTTATTCAAAATACTGATACTACATACTATGGCATTTGATAATGTTTAACTTTTATATTTATATACCAGGTAATTCCTTGAAGAGACAACTCATATTAATTTAGTGAGCCTAAATATGTAAAACAAAATAATTCCAAAATGTCTACAATTCTGGCTTCTGCACTTCAATTATCTATTTACAAATATGTGCTTCAGCGGATCTTTAAAAAGTACAATGACCCATATTTATTAAACATGTTATAGCTAACTCTTTATGGGTGCACTAAAGGAGAAAGTATCAGAGGGGTAGCCGTGTTAGTCTGAATCTGTAAAAAGCAACAGAGGGTCCTGTGGCACCTTTAAGACTAACAGAAGTATTGGGAGCATAAGCTTTCGTGGGTAAGAACCTCACAAAGGAGAAAGAGCTCAATGAAACCTTTCCCATGCTCCTGCACAGGGGCATGTATAAACAGCATCAGAGAGCTGGGTCGCTGCAAGCACCACCAGCAAACTAGAAGTCCCAGAGAGGGTTTGAGCAGAATGGGTCACAGCCATTGCCACACACACAGACTGGCAGAAATGAACCAGGCAGTAAAAGGTATAGCAAGAGCTGCTCCCCAGTCTTTCAGAGGTATAAAGCACTGCTGCTGATGGTGGCTGATGCTCGTACTCCTCTTCCCAAGCATGGTTTAGACCCTTAAAAGCCATATTTGAGCTTTATATTTAATAGACTACAGTATTTTATAAAGATGTCATGCTTTTGTATCTTTTAACAATATCTTTATGCATATATTTTTGATTTTACTAAAAACTTATTTTGCCATTTGAACTTGTTTGGCATTTAACTGACTACTTACTCTGTCCATGCAGGAAGCCTCATTCTGTGAGCTTTGGTTCACATCACTGCCTGTGGAAGAATACAATGTGTAGGCACAGGGACATCATTTTCATTTGTACTGTATCTGATTTTGATTGCTAGTTTTCCACTGAAGAAATATGTAGCATTAAAACTTCAAAAGACTTTCATCTTTCAATAAAACTATCCACAGAGATAATAAAATGCAAAATTAATTTGTTGGTTGTATTAATCTAGTTTAAAAAATTGTAAAGCAAAACTGAAGCTAGTTGATTCAGAGTTGTTATTTCAATGTATATTTGCTATTTGTTTAATGAAAAATTTAGATCAATAGGAGACTTATCACCTTGAGGCAATATTGTGCAAAATCTGCTAGTTTAAAAGGAGGTATTAGGGTTAAGAAATTTCAGCTAAATGTGGCTTAATGAGAATCACAATTAAAGCTTAAGAAAAACAAGTTGCAGTTAGGACTGAGGATAGCATAAAGTTTGTTTCAGTGGATGCAAATTATACCTAAAGATAAATGATGTTCTCTAACCCCGGATGATAAAAGAGACAGGCAACTGAAAACACAGGTGAGAAGTAAACAGCCCATATCCATTCATTCCTGAAATAAACACAAGCCTCTTGGGAAAGCTCACAGCACCACCCCCTTCACAAATGGAAGACTAAATTAGCAGCCATACTTTTAAAAGGCTCCAAGTCCAACAAGATCTTTCTCTAACATATGACTGCCTCCCAAAGCTCTACTACATGCTCAATTTCTCCTTCTCCCTGGTTATGTAAGACATCTTTTAAAAAAAATTAAACTAGGGAAGTTATTTTTCTTGAATAAGTATCAAATGCTTCAGCCCAAATAAGGGCTGTGCAAATGAACACCCACAATGATTCAGGTGAGAAAGGAGGGACAAGGTATGGAAAAGCTACGTATGGGGTCCACAGCTTTCACATGCTAAGGAGCACAGCTTTACGTTGGCCTCGATGGCAAGTCTACAGAAGATGGAGCTATCACAGACCTGGCCAGTGGTACAACAATAAATATCTTCCAAAACCCCTCCCACAGAAAGGGAATGCAAAGGCCTGAAAAGAGGATTCTATGCCTGACCTCTGCCGAACTCCCATATTCAATGCCCAATTACATGTGTGTGCAAAGAGGAGAGACAGTGGGCATAAGTCAAATACAATCCTACAGTTGTATATTTATTGTGTACATTACATTAATGCAAACAAGTAAGCAGACACATCAATAAGTCTTATCACATAAATGGTAAGGCAGCATTTTATATTGAGTACAGTCTTATGGAAGCATTTTGGAACCATATATGTGTAAAATTCATATAGATAAAATATACAAAGGTTTACTAACAGAAGCCACTAACAATGGCTTACAACTATTTTAGTATATACCCTGTCCTCACAGCATGAGAAAAACTTCTATTAATACTAATGTGAGCTAAGCAGACACACTGAGAGAATATGCCACTTTTAATTTAACTGATAATATTTAATGGATTGATAAATTCTCTTTCCTAAAACTAATCAAATTGACAAGCCGGAAATTCCAATTTTGTTTGTAAGCATATACTGTATTGCCTTAAATTGTAGTAGCAGCTACAACAACTCTAATTGAAGTTGCATCTATTCAGTGTGTCAGCTTTAATTCCTGAGTCATTTTCCACTAATGAAATAGCTGTGGTCAGGCCACAACTTGAGGATGAATGTTGTTAGTTATGTTAAATTAGGTTACAATTCACATTTGTGGGAGCTAATTTACTTATGAGTTACATGAAGTCAAACTATTTCCAATTTTATACTGCAGGTGAAAAAAATTATTTATCTTCAAGTATTTCCCTTAACTAGTACAGGCATCTGTGAACAATAGTTTCATTACATATTTTACATGGTCAGAAAAATGTGCGGACTCCACTCGCTTTTACATTCATGTTTTTCATATTGTACTGTGTAGTAAAGAGCTACTGCCACCACCCCCTTCCAATTACACACACTTACTACAAGACTCTCAATGGAACCAGAGGGAAGTTCAAACACAGGTAACAATGACCAAGTATGCAATAAAATCCATAATTTGTGAGTTGTGAAAGCATGTCACCCAAAAGTAACAATTTAATGGACCCCAAATCTGGAGCTCTTAAGTCAATGCATATGTATTAAGAACCTATTTGTATTCTCTAATGTAATACGTTATTGGTTCATTACCTACCTTCAGTATTAAACTGACTGCAAGTCAACAGTCTGCCTCTAAACTTTTCATTTTCTTCAAGCATTTTTGAAATTACTTTCAACACTCCATGAAAGACTTCAGACTAAAAATAAAGGAAGAACAGTCTCAATGAACAGTGTCAAAAAGTTTGTTTTTAAAATCTCCTCTTAAGTAGGATTTTGAATTTTCCAGTGTTGAACATTCAAGTGTAGTCAATCTGCTTTGTTTGCAACTCTAGTAATTGACTAGATGTATGAACATAAACCACATTTATTTTACAAGTCTAAAATCAGTGTTTGGATTATTCCTCTGTATTTTTCATTCACCCTTTCTTCCCTGGATCTCTCATTACCCAGCACCTGTGATCCTGTCCTTCCAGAGGAGGAGAACTGGATGTGACTCCCTCTGGGGCCATTAAAGTCTCTTCAGGGTCGGCCAGAAGGGGAATACATGAAAGAGATGCAAGATGATCCTTTTTATAATAGATGGAGATATACCTATCTCAAAGATACTGGAAGGGACCTTGAAAGGTCATTGAGGCCAGTCCCCTGCCTTCACTAGCAGGAACAAGTACTGTCCCTGACAGTTTTTGGTTTTTTGTGTGTGTGTCCCAGATCCCTAAATGGCCCCCTCAAGGATTGAACTCACAATCCTGGGTTTAGCAGGCCAATGCTCAAACCACTGAGCTATCCCTCCCCCCGTTCCCCAGCAGGGGTCAAGCACGTTCCCTTCCAGTCCCTTGCCTGCAGTACAATTTAGACCTAGCACTCAGATTCCAGCATGGCAATGACCTGACCTGTTCTGATATATCAATATTAATTACTTTTATGTTATCTACTGACCTTTTCAGTTGAAAAATGTACAAAATTCCCTCTGTAACTGGCACATTTCAAACTGGCATAATAACAAATACCAGAACTGAAGCACTAACAAATTCAGATATGCTAACACATCAAAAATAGGAGATTACAGGATCTAAATTGCAATAACATGCTAAAGTTATGGTGATATTTGGACCATGCACTGTGACACTGGTTTAAATCTAATAATTCCTTCTTCATCAAGCTTCAGTGCTAAAATGTAAAATACATTCCTTATTCTTCTTGGAGACTACTTAATGAACTAGAAGAGACAGTGTAGCAAGTGTTAGCTTCACCTCTGAAGTCAGTTGTTTTCTCCTTGTTTTAAATCATGTATCGGTGACATTACTGTATTATATTATAGCTGGTTATTTGTACCTCACATATGGTAAATCCCATGACTTACCATTTTAAAAAAAATGTGTCTTTTTAACTTCAAGCATTGGGTGAACTAGTCAACAATACCAGAAATACATTTGTGACACAGAATGTAATTTTGTATTTCTACTAATATAATATTAATAGCCAAATGTTGCTCTCGCTTATCTGTTCCCTAAGCAACCCCATTACCTAAAATATATAAGTAGGGACAGAATTTGGGTCCATGGGCGGCGAGTTCTATGGGCCCATGGTGCCTGGGCACCAGGAATATTCCTGGTGCCCAGGCACCACAGGCCTCGGCCCCGCCTTCCGCCCTCGAGCCCCCCCCCCCCACATCCCACGGGCCATTTAAAATGTCCCGGGGCCCCCACTCACCACCAGCAGCACAGCGGAGCTGAGCAGCTTCCTACCTGCTTGCTCCATGGAGCTGTAGGCAACCTCCCTGTGACCCCTGGGCAGGGTGGGTGTGTCCCACCCCAAGCACCTCTGCAGCCAATAGGAAGCTGCGGGGGCAATGCCTGGGGGTAGCAGCACACAGAGGAGCCTCAGGTAAGCATCGCACCCCCCACCCCTTCCCCAAACCTCCCTCCCAGAGCCTGCACCCCTTCCCTCTGCTCCCCCTTCCTCCCCCCAAACTCCCTCCCAGAGCCTTAGGCAGGTGGGGGGTGGAGTTTGGGGGGGGGGCAGGCTCTGGGTGTTCTGGGCACCACCAAAATTCCTACAAACTTGCTGCCCTTGGCTGGGTCAGGGTCATTTAAATCAAAGGAACTACTGGTGCTCAAGTTAAGCACATGCTGAAGTGCTTTCCTGGACTGGGGCCAGAATTCTCAGATCTTGCAGATTTAAACTCTAAATCTAAAGGGGTGAAGATAATGCTATTTCTCATTCCTACAAGTGAAACTTCCTATAACATTAGAGTATTGTTTCATCCTTTTGCATCTCTCACACCTACTCTTTCTACCCACATATACAGTGCAAGCAGGAGTTTATCTTCTAAAATGCTAACGCTTTCATTCATTTTAGTCACATATTTTATACCTTTTCCTTTTTCCGTTTTATTACTTTATTAACAACTTTAGAAGTGAAAGGGAATCCAAACTTATCAGCCTGATTCATTTGAAGACCACCTAAAAGAAAAATTAAAATTAAAGAGCTTGAATGTATCAAACTAGTGAGGATTCTCCATCCTTCCATGTTAAACAGTATTATTCATTTTAGGCACTGGCAGACTTTCATATCACATAATTCTGATTATCACCTTGTATTTTCTTCCGTTACAATTATTAGCATCTGATATCTCAAACTGCTTAAGAAAAAGATTAATATTCTATAACAATTGAAAGTGTAGACAGGCATTCAGGTGACATACCATTGGTTTCTAGGTCTCATTTTTCTTGATAGTATCCACTAAAATCCTGTTTGAGCTGAAGTGAAGATGGTAATCAGTACTGTGATACTGAAGTCTGATATCTCGCTTGCTCCTAGTACTAAAACTATTTTGGCAGACCAGTACAAATATATTCAATGAAGATTTCACCTTGGTAATCAACCTAATTTGAGCTTTCTCACAAATTCTATTAACTGCTCTTACTGGTGATAAGTGATAGTAAATAATAGACTAGATAATAAACTAGTAGAACTGTTGTCTTTATTTCTGAAATACAAAGTAATGGATAATCTGGGTCTATCATCCTTAAAGGTTTTTAAATTTTTTTTTACAAGGACATTGTAAAACTTCCTAGGGTTAACAGTTCTGTAAAATTAAGAAACAGCCTCCGAGTTCTCTGCAGAATCTCCCTCAAGGCCCAGGCTCTCATCTTGGGAGCTGAGACAAGTTCTCCATTTTCATTCCAATTTATTTTGTGCAGCAAAACTGATCTTTTTAGCAACACACCAGGAAAAGTTTTTTTTTAAAAGGGAATAAAGGGACACCTATCCCCATCTCATTTGGGCCCAGACACAAAGAAAAATAACACTGAGACATGCATGGACGTGAGATTGAGTATTCCAACGGCACTATTCCATCTGGGGTCTACCAGGCAAGGTCGGAGAGGATCCAGGAGCTGAAGACAGATCACGCCAACTCCTAGGGATGGATTTCAGTGACTCTGGTCCCCGTTCTGCTGGGTGAGGAATGTGGAAGGCTGAACAGTGAGAGGACAAAGCTGCCTTCACCCCTGACAGGGGGCGGGAGCTTCGCCATTCACCAGTGCACGGGGTCTCTGGAGCAAAAGCCCTTCTGGGGTTTGTCACTTTCCGTTCACCTGCCAAGAACGTTATTCTCCCTCCCACCCCCCAGCACCAAGTTTTGTTGCTCCTGGCGCAGGGTGAGGGTCCCTCAGTGCGTGTGGAAGGGCCGGGCGGTTACCAGCCACGCAACGGGGTGGGGGACACACACTGGCACCTCCCGACTCAGCCAAAGAGCCAGAGGCGATGACCCTCATCGCCACGTAACTCGAGGGGCCAACCCACAGGCACACGGGGCAGCGCCGACTGGGCACCTGCGCTCAGCCCGTCCCTTCTCCAGCGTGGCGCGTACCGTATGGCTGGCTGGCGGGGGGCGCGAGGGCAGAGCTGCCGGGTGTCTGCGCGCTGCCGCCGGCTCTGCTCTGTGTGCATCGCAGCCCCGGCCCGCTCTCCCGGAGACTGGGGGCTCCCCCTGCCTGGCCACCCTGGCTCGGTCCCTGGGCGGCAGCACACGACTCCGCTCCCCTCGGACCGGTGCCAGGCGGGATTGGGAACCTGGGGCTTCCGCGACCTTCCCTGGAAACGGCACCCGCCTCGCCCCTCAGCCCCACACACGGCGCCCCCCGCCTCCGGCTCAAACCGGAAGTAGAGGACATATCTCTGTCTACGACACCGGAAGCGGCGGCCTTCTCCTCACGGCGCCTCTGTCCGCCGCCATATTGGATCACGGAGCCGCAGCGGTGGGTGCCGAAGCTGTTCACGTAAACTATTCGCATGCGCTCCCGGCCAGCACGGGGCTTCATCCTCGAGGCAGCTTGAGGGATACTGTGGCGGGGGCGCTCGCCCTTCTAACACACGGCTCGGGGACAGCTCTAGGCCAAACCAACCGAGAAGAGCGTGCGAGAGACCATTGGGGGAGAGTGAGCCGCTTGGAAGAGCCCACTGGATTTGGGAGGGAGACCTGCTTGGGAGAGCCCACTAGGAGTGGGAGAGAGAGACCATTGGGATGGGGGGGGGGCGCAAGGGAAGCCGCTGGGATTGGGAGTGACTCGTTTAGAAGAACCCATTGGGAATTGGGGGGGGGGGGG